TAGCGCTATTTGCTTGTTCTATCCTTGTTTTACACCTGATGAGCGATAAAGACAGAATGATGCAATAGCGCTAATAGCGCGCTCCTCGAATGCAGCCTTTATCAGCCCTTTATAAGCGTTCCATAAAGAACGCTCGTTGAGTTATTGACGCTTTTGGGCGCTCGGCTTTTGTTTTGTTCCTTTCTGAAGATGATTTTAATATCGCTGACGTAGAAACGTAGGGACTTGGCTAACAATAAGTTTATATAATACATAAACGACTCGCGTAACGTGCGAAAATGTTTCGTACACAAAGAATGCTTAGCTGTACATAGCGAGTCTCCGCAGTTTGAAGGGCTAACATGTTGACCGCCATAGCGGTCATTCGTGGCTGGCGCCCGATTTTTCAGCACTATCGAATTTTTTTAACATGCTTGTGTAAGACAATTATAATTTAACGTGAAATTTCAAACGACATAACGTCTATTCATTTTCAAAAAACTTTCTGAACTGATGCACATTGGTGCGATAAGTTAGAGAAAACAAAATATACTCAGGTCTACTTGTTGCCTATATACTTTTTGGACTTGGAATCTCCGCGTTCTCTCTTTCTAACGTCCAAATGTATATTTATCTCGTTTTAAGAACTTTTAGGGATTTCAGGTAACACGAACAAACCTCTTGTCTCACTCTAACTTACTGCACTAGTGTATACCAGTTCAGGAAGTTCTTCGAAAAAGAACAAACCTATTGAACAGCTAGATAACAATGTAAAATAAAAAGTGAGTCATTCTACAACTATAAAGATAGGTTTTCATGGGCAGTGAAATGCAGCAGCAGTGAGCAGCAGTTTTAATTTCCTATAAATGTTTGGCTCAGTTCCGGCGCAAATTTTTGCTGCTCGAAATTCGGGCTTCAGTATTGGATGTATAGGACCAATTTCATGAGGAGCAAAAATTTGTGCCGGAAGTGAGTCAAACATTTCTGGGAAATTATCAAACTGCTGCTCACTGCTGCTGCATTTCACTGCCCACGAAAACCTACTTTAAAGAATGTAGGGTAAGGAAGGGCTATTTGAGTCAGTTAAAGAAGAAATCGGATAGAAAGTTTTCAAGACAGGAAGGAACTTTCTAATTTTCGGGGAGGAGTTTTTTTTAGTTATGGGTTATTTGGTTTCTTAGAACTTTTTGAAATCTTTTTCATCCATTTTTTTTAACTGACTCAAATAGCTCCTCCTTGCCCTAGTCTTATTTAATCACATTATACGACATTTTTCTATTATATGCTCATGATATAAACTGAAAACTGAGGTATACGTGCAAAACCCGCTAGGCAGACAATGTATTTAATTTCGGGAAGCGATTCAAGAAGCGTTTTTTTCCCTGGACGAAAAAAGATTTGTACGTCATTAAACTTCATGACTAATTGGCTATTAAGTTGATCATTAAGATCAGTATTTCGGATTTTGATATTATAAATTGAACAGAGAATCTCTCTACATAATGCTCCAGGTTTTAACTACTGGACAACAGAAAAATGCGAGAAGGCGAGAGAGACGTGAACTCTCGCGTATTTGTCAAACTTATTGGAATTGCATTGAATTCGATCGCGAGACGGGTCGGCGCGAGTCATACTCGACGAAATCGCGAAACGCGACTTCTCAGTGCAACGACGAGGACGACGACAGGCTAATATACACAATACAGCGATTTCACAACACGATATTTTCGTACACGCTTCGCATGACGCTGACGCGCGAGGCACGGTCCTTTTCTCCTTCCCTCGGCCCCTTCGAACAGAGACCGCCACTTCCTTTTTCTTCGTTCGCACGACAGGCGGAAACCGAAGAGCTCATCGAATGTTCGAGAAAGACCTGGAGCAGAGCAGGCCTTGATTCAATATCGACGCAATTAGTTCCCTGCGATCACCACGAAAGAGAAAGAGACAGAAAAAATATATATAGAATTTGTAACATTCATTTATATCCTACAAGATCAAGAGAGAGAGAAAGAGAAAGAAACGGGCCAAAAAAAAAAGAAACAAAGAGCGAGGAACATTGGCGTGGACCCCGAAAGCGGTACAACGTCATCGGGTTCGGTTCTCGCTGTAGGCCACGGAAACGATCTCTACGCCTATTCGCGATAACGGCAGCGCGCTGACCGTCGCGACGTAGGACGCATTTTTTTCTGCGTCTATCGCGCCGAGGATCGGGGGGGACCGGCGGCGGCATCGGCATCGGCATCGGCATCGGCATCGGCGTCGGGATTGTGCCGGTTTTGACCGTCCCGGTCGCCGGCCGGCAACAAATGCGGGGCACGGGGTACACACGCTGTCATCGCCGGCGAGGCCCGTGGCCCGTTGCGAAGCGCGCGGCGTACGACGCCACGCGGCGTCACCTCCAAATTTAAATACGCAATTCAGGGTACCCCGGGGTGCCCGGCGATAAACCGACGAAGAAGCACGGGCGCGCCGCGTGCAACGTACCTCGAAGAACGTTCCCTCGTTCGCGCTCGTGCGTGTCCGTCCTCGCGAGAAGCGTCGGCGGTGACGGGGCACCCGAAGCGACGGTATATCCAGGGGGAAAAATCGACGGTCGACACGCGAGCACCACGATGTATACCGCGAAAATTCACTCGAGAGAACCCAACGACGCGCGCTCACGACCGTGCGGAGCTCGAGAGGAACTGCTGCCGCAGGCCCCTTCCACATGACCGGCGACAATTGGCGGCACGCCGCCCGATTGGCCGTTCTATGACGAATCGGCGACGCGAGCGCGCCGTGACGGCCAATCGCAACGCGGCGGCGCGCGAGCCAGGCCGACGCGCGCTCGATTCGAACGTCGATAACGGTACTTCGCGACGCGTCAGAGACATATGATGGTTAATTATCTGAAATTGCTGGCGATAACGATAATGGGGGATTGCTGTACTTCCGTATCTCGGCCCGAAATATACATATCAAATTATATCAATTGGTCCTTATCGCGCGTAAGCATCGTTTCTCAGTGATTAAAAATATATTATTGTGATTAAAAATATATAATATTGTCACGTGTCATTGACGGAATATCGTAACGATTTTCATATATCCCGCAAAGAAATCTGTTTCTCGTGTGATAACGATGAGCGTTTGATGGAGAAAGTAAAATTAAGAAAAAAATAAGAATAAAATATTTAAAACAGACATCGTAAAAATATTTTTGTGTGTCAGCAAATGCAAGTATTTCTTTAAAAAATCGTTATGTCTTTGCAAATTTGTGCCAAAGATAATATTGCAGAGCAATGATCAACAATCTGATCGCATATCATATATCGTGTTTTAATATTACAGAGTAATTAAAGGTTTGTGCTTGTCAAATAAATTAATAATTTTTTTTCTATTTTATCTTTTTAAATTTGATAGCATAATTTTTTCTAATATTAAAGTCACTTTATTTTTTACTTTGTTATTAATTTAGTTAACGGGTGAATAACTTTTATTTATCTTTTAATTTTTAATTAATGAAATAACATATGTCACATTGATTACTAATTGTTGCTCTGAAATAGCATTATCTATTCCTTGTTGCTATAAATAACCGTAATACAAGCCTTTCCTGCGTTTTCAGACACAATGAGCATTTAAAAAATTGCTTATCTAATGTTAATGAAGATTTACGATGCCCAGTTTACGCTAACGAGACTCGTTTACTTGACATTCTATATTTCCGCTTATCGAGAAAGTGCATTTGTGGCAACAACAAACTTTTTTATTACCCTTATTGAGCATCAATTTCCGTTTTTCGCGGTGCTGTAGATGCGGGTTAGATAGAATCAATTTTAAAGTCAATTAGAGAAACAGGGTTTCTCGTACGGTATATTCGCCGATACATTCGTGACTACTTTCGTCAACTTGCGATCTTTCGAACTTTGTTGTTCATTAGGCCTGCACATGAGTCACAATAATCAAACGTTTTTCACATTTGGCAGAGTCAAACTGACCTTGACATAGATTTGTAAGAAAAATTATGATTCTGGCGCCGGCACAATATTAATATTATTAAAGTTGTAGTCGACTACAGCTATGCTTGACACGGCGACATAGGCCATCAAATAATGATAACATATCTGTATAAAAAAAGAGAAACGCGATAATCTGCCCGCGTGACATTCTATCGGCAGAAAAATAGCAGTTTTGCTTGATCTCAGACTCTGTTTATCCAAATAAGATCACAGACGTAATAGCCATAATCGATGCTATAAGTAAAGTATTCGCCGTATTTCTGTTACTAAGGAGAGTAAGAATGAGGAGGGTAAGCTCCATTTGCGGATCGTAAGTACGAAAAGCGGGTCATTACAGAATGCACTCTACCTTCAGTAATGTAAATCGCATCGAGTGCACTGTGCGCATTCAAATGCGTTTTAATTTTACTCTTGCATCTACGATGCACTCGCATATGTAGGAAACGTGACACGAAAGACTATGTGTTGCAACACGCGTCTACCAAATAGCTGCGTACCCTACAATAGACTCGCTTTTCGTACTCTTGAAAAAACCGATATTGTTAACAAGCAATATTGTACTCTTTGCAGTGATCTCTAATGCTAGAGACGTAGCAATCTTCGCGTTCGAAACAACTGCCTAAGATACTTTGCATTGTTCCTCAAAAGAATGTAAAATACTTCGTATTGCGGTACACATAATAACTAGCGCAATTTTATCGCTTATTCCGTTTCTATATTGCGTGGTGCGCCGCTTAATCCGCTGACATGTCGCCGACATTGTACATTTCTCGATTTCGTCCGTTTCGGTCTTCTATGTATGGATCTTCGGTAGCCAAAGATCGAATTTTCGAACCGTCTCTCGGGAGATCGACCAAAGACGCAAAGATACGGCTCACTTTTTGCGTAGACTGAAAACGGCGAACGAGTTCGAGATGTAGTTCGCCAACGACACGAACAGATTGCTCACCGTGTGATAAGCGTAACCGTATACCAGCGCGGCGCACAGCCGAGCCCTTACAACGGACAAGTTGCACTTACTAGCAGCTCGCGGCGAGGGTTGCGACTTGTCATCGTCCACGACGGTATGCATGCCAGCAGTCTCGATACGCGCGACGTCGTCGTCATCGTGGTCGCGCAGCATTTCGTCGTCCGCGTCGCGAACGTCTCTGTCACTCGGTCGGACACGATTGTCTACATTGCCATCGTCTACTATCGAGTCCACCGGGCAGACGTTCGCATTGTCGCGGTTAGAATAATTGTTGTCGTTCCTGTCGTCATCGCTGCTGTGCTTCTCTGCTTCCACCGGCGACTTCTCGCTCTCGGGGGAAGGATCGAGCGACAACGATGCGGCGAGAGGGTAATTGTTGTCGTGCACATCCTCGCCGGCGTCGACGTCGGTCTCCGGACCTAAATTGTCCGTGTAATCGTATTCGTCGTCGTCGTCCCGATGCTTGCCATTTCTGGCCATTCTTCCGCACCCAGTATTGGAGGTAAGTAAGTCCATATCGTAAGGGGGGCGATCTGCATCCTCCAACAGCTGCTTGATGAAGGCTGATGGGTTTACTTCGAATTGATCGCGATTCGACGGGATCGGATTATTCGAATCCATATTGTTCAGTAATAGACCATTCGGTGCTTGATGCGTCAGGAACGGATTTGAGCGCGAGGCGATTTCAATCGGCGGCGTCAGGAACACTACGATTACGGTGATATTGTCCAGGGAACCCGCGCGCTTAGCACTCTGCAGCAAGGCCTGATGCACGTGCTTGAGATCGTCTGTAAAAAAAGAAAATAATGCTCGTTAGATCTTCTATTGGTTGTATACCTCGGCGTCTACTACGATCACTTCTTAATTACTACGATATCGTCGTGGTAATTGGGTATAATTTCGAAACCGTTACGTGGTATCATATTGGTCAAGCCTTTTATTACGAAATTCCGCGAAACATTCGAAGAAGCGGAAGGAGACAAAAATATAGCAGAAGCATTTTTCAATGCGCTATTCCATAGTCAATTAACTTATCGGCGTGAGTCACGGTAATAGAGGTACGACGGAGTCAATGGCTCGTGAATAAATCACGCTCGATGATCATCACGCGATTGCGTTCAAGACCCTCGTAGCGTCGCGTAATTATCGTAAATATAGTTTCCTACAAAATCCAAATATATGTAATCGCATAATTCATCGGAAAGGCGATTGCGGAGTTGTTATGGTCGCACTTTTCATCTTTGCTACAGATTGGACGTTACGCGATCGAATGATTTTTCCGAGATTAATGGACACTTCTGGGGATGTCTCTTGAATATTCAAAATTTCTCGCGATGCTTCCAGATTTTACCGGTTCACTTTTACCGAGTACTGCGTTTACTTCTCCGAGAATAATCACTTCCTGTTTCTGCACGCGAATATTCACAGGTATATACTTGAATGTCCCGTAACATCCGGACAGGACATTTCTTTATGTTGCTGCTGTTGCTGCATGAAGACGTCTTATTTGAAACAAAATTCATATAAATCATATAAATTCATATAAATCACGAATATGAGTCATGAATAAATCATATATCTTTTATTATCTTTATTTTTCGTAATTTTTTAAATCGTTTCGCCCAAGAGACAAATCCAGGAGAATATTGAAAACTCGATTGAAAATGTTATACAAAGATTCGGATTCAGACTATGCAAACGTGAACAAACATGAATGAACAAGTTGCATCAATAAGTTCGAACGGCGTCACCGGTGGTATTCCTGGCACCTTTCACATTCATTGAAGTACGCTATTCATTCGTGTTTGCTTGTTTGATTAGGATATCTGGCTTAATAATTTTCAAGTTCAACCCTTAAGTTGAGAAAATAAATTCCTACGTATCAACCGCGATATATACCGTCTACCAATCCTATTTTTCTTCATTTTAGACCAACAGATCAGACCGTCTTTCTTTGCACGAGCGTATGTTCGAGTTTGAAGCCGGTTTTTTTCGCGCGGAGCATCAGGGAGAATGTAAAAAATCCGAATATCGCACGTCTTCGAACGTCAGTCGAGAGCATCGGTCATTCTCGGACTCTCGGATTCAAGAGGGAGAAATTTCGCGATGTCGCGTGCGGCGTACGCTGGAAATTTCGTCGACAGGTACGCCGAAATCGGGGAAGGTACCAATGCGGCAATATATCGTGCGGCCCTGGCAAGAAGGTACGTTGACCTACGCGCTATACCGCCTATCGACGCCTGCGTAGTCCTCCCTCTCATCCATCCTCCGCCTCCCTCTTTCTCTTTCTCTCTCCCTTGTGTTTCGTCTCTCCCCCTGCCTCGCTCGCCGCTCACCTTCGCGCGCTCACCTCTCGTCTTCTCTTTCATTCTCTTGGATTTGCGCTCTAGTGACTTTATTACACCGCAGGAGGATTCGCTCGCCATCTGGGCGAGGGGAAGGAGAGGAAGGATATTAATTTTCCATCGGTTCGTTTTTCGACGTACCCGCTATCCTTATACCAACGGTATAAGTATACTCCTCGAACAATATCGTATTTCATCGCTCATCAAGGAAACCCCTAGGCTCTGGGTTGAAAGAATAAAATCTTTTCGATCCAAGACCGATAGGATATATAAATCAAGGGATATATAAATCAAGCCAACGAAGTCCCATAAGACTCTTTCATGGAAAAATTCGCTGGCAACACCAACAATACGAACACCACCAACGCCAAGGGGTCATTGGGGACATCCGGATACGTTGGATGACGCATTGGGCGACTATGGGGGACCGATGTCGCATCGATCGATAATCGGATGTGTCTACAATGAGTATGTATGAGCTGATGGCAGGTGCGATAATTGGCAGATACCTATCCTCGACGAGCACGTGCTCGTAATCGAATCGTCGCCGCGACAGCGTGGAATGGCGAGTTTTCGTCCGTCTTTCGGGTTAGAAGGTATTATTGAGAGAAGACGCGGGAGAGAAGAAGAAACTCATTACGCGCGCTATCGATTATTCGTACAGGATTCAATGAGCGCGTGTCGCCTAGTTAAGGGGATGGGTGAGCGAGAAAATGAAGGCGAGAATTAACATGCGCAAATGATGTCGGCTACTGCCGCGGGAAGACGATTATCCCTTTTTACCCTCGTTTGG